CTGCATGTGAAGTAAAAGGCTTCAGGAATTGCTAGTAAACTGTTCAGGAAAAGCTTGATGTCCTGATTACACAAGCTAAAGTGTTATGCCAAGTAATTCTAGAATTATTAATTATGTTTGGAAAATAGTATATAATTTTACTGAAGAATGATTTTAAATTTACCAATGAAAGTGTGACATTAGAATTTACCTGTCAAGCATCTAGATATTGCGTCAGTTATAAAATATTAAAAGGTTTGATATTTGTGTAACAATTCGTCCATTTGACATTTATTTTTGTATTTGAAATATAATTTTAAAAGTTGTGTTTTAATATTTCTGAATTATACATGATGTTTCTAAGTGATATTTCAAGATTGTATATTATTGGTGAAACTTGACATATAACTTTATCAATGATAAAGTTAAACAATGAACATCAACAGAAATGTGTTGTTGTATACTGTCAGGAGTTATTTCCCATGTATCAGGAATTAGTCTTGAATATGAGTAATGGCCAATATGTAGCACATAGATTGCTGATGTCTGTCTGTCTTAGAGAGAAGCCAAGCAAGTAATAAATACTTATAGCAATTATTTAATGATGATAATGTTTCATTGATTGGAGCAAAAATAATATACTGAAGTTGTGTTCCCTCTTATATTAATGTTCATCAATTCTGGTATGGCTAGTTTTACTTCCATGTGTCATACATTTTTGAACTTGTAAGCTTACACACAATGAACAAATTGCAATGAGAGTCTAGAAGGAAACAATAAAATATTCTTTAGAAAGTTAGATATTCATCAAATATACAACACATGCTTGTGCATAGATTAAGGAACAATTTTCAAAATTAGGAGGAAAGATGATTAGGTTCATTATAAGCTTAAATGATTTTATAGAAACATTAGATATAATTATATTGATATATATCTTACAGACATGTAAAAGGCAAGTCATATGATGGAAATCATCAATAATACATCAAAAATTATGTCTTTAATATTTCCCACTAAAGGTTTTCTTCTGGAACACGAGATCTGATCTCATCAAGCCTTTGTTAAGTGAGCTATTGATAGACTATAGCAATTATAGTATAGTATCAAACTAGTTTTATTAATGTCAAAGGTCATCATATTGCCAGGGAATCCAATAAGTAATCAATATAAATGTGTGATAATTGTAGTTGTAGATTCCATCTGTAAATATTCACCAGCATACTGTTTCCAGTTTAACAAAATAAAACTCTTTTATCCTTGTCTACTGTGTAACCTTGTAGGTTAAACCATGTCTAGGACAACATCACTGTCTTCTTCAGAGCTCATTATCACCAGTAAGGAGTCAAATTAAAGCCGAATCAATCTCTTTTGTTTCTTGGTCATCAATTTGATACTGGCTACATTCACTGACCATTCAGGGACCATTTAAAATGTATCATTAATTTGTTCAAGGGACAGATATGCAGTTTTTTTGACCAATCATACTTTAGTCTCAGAAAATTGGAATTTTTTAGCTTAGCCAATCAGTTATAATGTTCACAACCTTCGAAGTGTGTTCAGAATTATCTGCGTTTGAATGTTTATATCATAACTCGTCAATTTAAGATACTCTGTGATATAAAGAAAAGACACATATAGTGATAGTGAGTAAAATTCCTAGATGGAAGAATTTTTAAAGCAATTTTCTGATTTTCTTATGTGTCTAGTACTTCTGACGACTTTTTACATATATTTAAGACTAAAATCAACCCCCGAAAATGGCGCACATGTCCCTTTAAGGTTATTTACACATTTCTCAATTTAAGACTCAATTCCTAGAATGAATGGTCTGTAAGAATTAGGGACATAACTAGCCAATTAAGTGTCAGAAAAGATACCGTTCAGCCTGTTTTTTTGTATTAAGCTCAGTGACAGTCTTAGATAGACACTCTCAACCAGTTTCAGACCCTGTCCACATCAGAACCTTGAACATGGTCTAATTGTATGAGTTGATTAGCCCTGTGTCAGCTTTCAACCATACAACCAAGAAAATTAGTCAAAATTATCTGATATGCTGGCATCAGTTTACAACTGATTTACCTCTTGATATATTACTTAAAGTTTTGTCAATTTCATCTGTTACATTTTCTATCTTTTTTGGGTAGTACATTTTTGCAGCAGCTTCATCAAATTTTTTCTTTCATTATTTATTTCTTGAAGTAATTGTGATCAGAGGTATTTATTTGCAAATTTTGTTCATCATTAGAAGCAAATTTATGGACTATATTGCTACTATTCTCATTTGAAGCAAACTCCAAATCAATATCCAATTAAAGATCTGTTTTTTCAAGCTTTCTTCCACTTCTTCTAAGAACACACAGGAAACAATAAACTTGAATGTCAGACATTTTGTGTAAATAGTTGGATTTTATTTGTTCAGGTTATTAATGAGAAATACAAGAAAAGATGTAAATTTAGAGTTTCTCTGTTTACCTTTTGTGGAAGAGTTCTTTAATGTCCTGGCTGATTATTAACACATTTTTGTGCCTTTTGTATGGTATTACTACTTATAATGATTGAATCTCTACAAAATGTCTTGATGTTGACTTGTTTGAATGTGATGCGCTGTTTGCCTTGAACTTTTTGGGAGACCTTTGGTATCATTTGTTGTTTTTGGTTGGCTTGATAAGGTTGGCATCACCATAATAGATCCTGCTGATCTTTGATATAGTTTTAGTGGCTTTTGCTTGACTTGAATCTATGAAAAGATTTTTGCTTCTGATGAGTTAGTTAATAAGTTGCAAGAAGATTTGGTTGATTTGAACATAAGTTGCAAGAAGATTTGGTTGATTTGAACATGTTGAAATAACAGAAGAGGAATAATTTGTAAGAAATTGTGTGGCCACTTATATAATTTAGGTGAAAGAAAAATTCTCACTAGTATTTGGTTTACTTTAATATAAACTTACATCTTTCATGTCATTGTTCTTAGTTTATATCATGCTATATATATATACAGTTGAATTATTTTCCAATTGTAAAAAAATTGCAATCTTAATTACAAAACTATATCTTTGTTTTATCTGGGATATGCAAATTTATGAAATTCCAACATTTAGAACTTCAAATGACTGAAAAATTCATAGAATTTTATTGATTAGATCATGTTGGAACCTAGAATCAGACATCATGATAGACTTATTCATCAAGACTTGTTTATGCTGACTTTATTATGGATGTTTAAGTCTGGATGAAATGAAGCAAATGGTTTTGATCATTAGGTTACAAAAAACAGTCTTTCTATTTCTATTGATTTCAGATATTTTGTTAAATTGGCTTTGATAAAGTCTTCAAGCTCTTGTGTCTATAATATACTTTTGGAAAAAAAAAAACATGGAATACAACAACAAATACGCTGGTCAAAACAATTTTGAAAAATAAACACAAATTCTATATAAACCAAGTAAAAATATTATTATTTTTTGGTTTAATTCAGTCTCAGAACCTAGATAATATCCTGCATGAACTACAATTGAATGTACATCCAACTAATAAAATGGGATACATGAAATTTCTAAATGAAAATTTTCCAAAGGCCCAGTTAATGAAAATTCTGTAGAAGGAAAAATTATTTTGTGGCTGAAAACACATTACCGGTAGTTTATTTTCATGACCTCACTATGTAATATATATATATATATATAACAGATGCTTTAGAAAGATATAGTATCATGTTGGAATGGCATATTTAGCAGTATTATATTACAGTTCTACAAGATTAAGTGGTGTGGCATTCGATTTTATGCAAATTTGGCTAAGAGATCTGCTATGTAAATTAGTTTGGGGTATTCAATATGAAATATTTTCTATTCAGTACAAAGAGAAATATCATGTTAAGAGTGCTAGTTAGTTATTCTACTTGTCACAAACTAACATTATCTAAGATAATGATTGTGTTATAGAATACTGATGTGTGGTCAGGAAAGGCTAATTGATCAATTTGATACCATTTACTAGTCCTCATAGAATACATTTCAGTTATCTCTTCTGTATTCCAATAGCATAAAGCAAGGATAAAACTAGTAAGCTAATGTCAGACCTACTGTTATCCAAATGATTGCCTGTCACAGTTATCTTGAATTAGGAAGAAAACGCAATATCTTTCTAAAAAATCAAGGAATGCTTTTAAGACATTTTTATCTGAAGATATTATTTTATTTACAAGTTTGTGTGTCCAAAAATGAGATTTCTACATTCTGTCTGTCAATTCAGTCATGATTTTTTGAGAGATGTAACGTTGCAGATATGTTATATAAATGTTTACAAGAATCAGAAACATTGAGGTGTGTTATTAGGAATTTATCAGTATTAATAATCTAGATAGATTTCAAAGAAACTGTTTAAAAGAATAAGAATAATACTCAGTAAGAATGTTAACTAGTATTTATAATCAGGATAGTTCTCAGGTTGAATGTTTAACTAGTATTTATAATCAGGATAGTTCTCAGGTTGAATGTTTACAAGTATTTATAATCAGGATAGTTCTCAGGTAGAATGTTTAAAAGTATTTATAATCAGGATAGTTCTCAGGTTGAATGTTTACAAGTATTTATAATCAGGATAGTTCTCAGGTAGAATGTTTAAAAGTCTTTATAATCAGGATAGTTCTCAGGTAGAATGTTAACTAGTATTTATAATCAGAATGTTCTCAGGTAGAATGTTTACAAGTATTTATAATCAGAATAGTTCTCAGGTAGAATGTTTACAAGTATTTATAATCAGGATAGTTCTCAGGTAGAGAATATTAAAGGGAGGTTATTCAAGGAGGTCATTGCAGATAAAACCAACATAATGCATGGAGAAGTAAAGGAAACAATGTTATTGATGTCATAAACAATGCAAAACATTCAAATATGAGTAGAGGCAATGTGAAAAATACTAAATGTGTCAATATTTCCAGCTGTCTGACCCATTTTCAAAACCTCTCCCTTGTTTCTGGAAAGCGAAATCGGTTTGTTTATCTTCCCTAAGATGCCACAATGCATCGAGCATTATCTCCGGAAGTAATCGGAACTCCAAAGTGGCTTATTATTTTCACAATAGTCTTCAAAGAGAATATTTAAAGAAGGTTTCTTTAAACACGCATAGTTATTAGGGAAAATGTTACAAGTATCTGGAGTATATTATATATACATATTATATGCTGTGTTTCGTATCTTTATTAAGAATACTGTCGAACATGCTACATAATATTCATGTTTCATACTATTGATGTTATTTTATGAACGTCAATGATTTTATGAGTAGAAATACTCATTAGAAATTTTATTCTGCTATTAAATTTATGTTTGGTAATATTATATTGGTAATTTCACTGCAGATGTTCAAGTTTTATCTTTAAATGTTATTCCTTTGGTATGACTCATTATTTCATTGAATTGAGAAAAGCAAGATAATATAGTTTGATAGTGATCATTGGCCAGGGATGGTGAATATATGTTAGGGATTTACAACGCAGTGCATTACATCCAATAAGTTGCTATGGATTTTGATGGGTCATGGATTTTGATACTTTATTACATCATTCATAATATTAATGCTACTGATATGACCCAGTGTTAATTTATTCAATATATCAGATACAGAAAGTTTGAATTGGTGTAAATTATTTGAGTTAATCTCTAACCAAATCTACAAAATCATTAATCGACTTGTCGTGATGTCGATGTTCAATAAAATACTCTCCAAACCAATGACAGATAATGTCAACAGTCTAAAGTGAAATGTTCGTTTAGCCAGTGAAATCTGTTGATGCCAAGTGTTAGAAAAGCTGAAAGCCAATAAATATCTATGTCTTCAATTTGAATTTGTTTTATTATCCAAGTAATGTCTGTGGGAACTCGTGTGAAAGCCATAAAAGTTAATTCTTTGAAGAAAATGACTAACTGTTGAATAGAAAAGATTGACTTTAATGCAGTATGTGAAGCAGATGAAAGAATTTTTCCACCTGATTTTGGAATATTTCTCTTAATGACATGGTCCTTTTTCAGTGTTTCTGTTTGACTCTAGAAAAACTATATAATAAAATTACATCAGCCTATAATTGTTTGAAATCTGTGGATTTGTGTTATTGTTATCAAAGTGTTGTGAAAAGTGAGTCTTGTGATCGGAACTTATATGGTACTAGAATGAGTTCCAATCCAGTTGATCACTATCTCAATGGAAGGCATGAGCGTACTATGGTACGTCTATGTGCCTTATTATGGATATTAAAATTACAAGAACAGAGGTTAAAACAGTGTGATCATGTGACAGATGTTTCAAGGTGCCACAATAACAAGGTCTGAATCTAAATGTATGTTTTTTGTTAGAATTCGTAGATTAGCTCATCTTGATGTAGTAATCTACAATAAATAACTTTTTTTGCTTTAGTTTTAAAACGAGTCTTTTTTATTGTTTGCACAGCATAATAATTTCTCCCTTAAAACACTGTGAGTGAAATAACATAAAACGTCATAATATATACTCCAAGTCCCTGAACTTGGTAATATTACTTAGGTTTGAATGTTAACGTTATGTGACATCACTTGCAAAAGGCCACTTGGGTATCATATCATAATTATGTTGCCAGTAGACTGATTGCCATTGTATTGAAAGGATTAAAAGAAGTAATAGCTCTGACATATATTGGACAAGTGACTGTATGTGCAGAGAATTTTCAGCTTAAGTCCGGCACACACATGAGTCAACAGCTCAGCCATTTGTCTCGCTTGTCGGTTGGGTAAGCCATATGGTTTCACCACAGCTGGTGCAACTTTGGCTCAGCAATTGGATCAACAGAACAGGTCACGTGACTTGTAATGTGACTGAAAGCACTTCCAAATTTTGGACAGTGAACAAGCGAAAGATAATGTTAAAACTATTATATGCTTACTTCTTATCTTGCTGTTGAGACGTTGGCGTCAACAATGAACAATTTGTCCAAATACCTGGGTAAGAAATCGGATCCAGATCAGACAGAATTTCTTCTGACGCCATTTCGAACAACTGTGATAAATATCACATGCCAGCTTTCCGTTGAGAGAATGGTGGCTGAGCTATCGTCTCACATCAAGCACACACCTTGAGGCAAACGTGATTTGTGCCATAGATTTCTGACGCACTGTCTTGCGATGCAAACGAGGCAGCAAAATTTACCCGCTCTGGGTGAGATTTCAGTTAATCGTGACGGATGACTGAGCTATTGACTCGTGTGTGCTGGACTTTATTATATACTTATTATATGTTTTATAGTACATAACCCTTCAAAAATCTACATCAAGTGAAATGTTGTGTACTATAAAGTTGTGTTCTGTTATTTAATGTGATGGCTATTTATAACTGACATCATGTTGTGAAGGAAAATGGTGACTTCCATGCACTGATGTACAGTGATATAAATTTTGTACATGGAAAAACTAAGAGATAAACAACAAAAACATTCAGAATGATTTTATTTCATTTGACTTTTCATTTGATGTTTCCAAGAAACATCAACACTTTAAATAATTCTGATAATTTTATGCCGCAATCCAAAGTTTCATTGGATTACAATATATTTTTATAATTTTATAGCTGACTGTAATTAGTTAACTTGCCATTAGCTACTTCTACATTGTCCATTATTTTGTCTGGTCAAAATTTCTTAATATCAACACCATGATAATTATGGCTCTAATTATTATATTTGGTGGTAATGTGTTTTATAAATAAGCAACTGTAATACAATGGGACACATGTAAGCACACAAAAATAAAAATCTAGTCTTAAGAGGAAAAATAATTTAAATTCTGAAAGCTGATTGATCAATTATGCAGCAGTCAAAATTATAAAAACCCATAAAACCATTTCAAAAATTTGTATAGGACATTATTTTCTGTATAAGTAATATGACATCATTAATAATGATTGTACCAGATAATTTTGATTATGTTGACTTTTGAGACTGTGTGGTCATTACTGCCATTACCTCTTTTTTATCTTCTATTTTAATTATATAGCTCAAATTGAGATCTATCAGCTGTTAAAGAGGTCTTATTTAAATGACACCAAAGTTTTTTGTTTTATTTTTAATGTAGTCACTACAGTTAGGGTCATACGACAGTGCTCTTGAACATTCATCTCAATAACCTTGACCCTTGCTTTAACCAATCAGTTTTTGTCAATTTATGAACATCCAATTTAAGGGCGTGTGTTCTCATTTCAATTCCAATGGATTTGATAAATTAGTCTTATGCTTCTGGGAATACACCTTTGGTTCGCATCACAATATCCATGCTATGGAGAAGAAAGAAATTTGATTGAACTGAGGTTTTCACCCTTAAGCGCTTAAATATATAATCTTGAAATTGTATTGATTATTCACACAGTTATGAGAAAAAATACATGATGATTTGAAGTGGATATAACTTAAGAAGTATTCTAGAAACATAATCAATTAAAATACAGTTTATAATGCTATTCTAATTGTCAAACAATATTATAAAGAACTCTGAAGTAAGATTTATATCTGAATATTTACCCAAAATGTTTCATAGTTATTGCCTTTAAGACACAAATTTTTTGGGTTAATACAAAAAGTTTTTGGTCAGAGAATGATTTTGTGTTTCATTTTAAGTTTTATGCTAGAAGAAATTGAACTAGGAGATAACATTACAGAATCAAATACAATCTTGGTATGTTTTTATGTAAAATAGCTCCTGATTATTGCTACAATTGGAGAGTTTTATGAACCAAAATGAAAAGTAACCATGGTTACAAGAATTTCAACTAAAGATACACCATCAGACTTTTGAAATACTTGAATACATTTTCCAATCAGCGGATGTTCAAATGAAAGCAGTTATTTTCTCTTCATTGAGTAATCACAAAAACTGGTAAAATGTGTTAAATATTGTATTAAGTATATTAAAGGAATTTGAAAGTCTGATTTTTCTTATACATATGAGATTTTAGCTCCATCTTAAATTGAATACATTGTGAGTGAAATTTGAATTAAGATACATATAGACAGAAGAATTCTATATTCATTATAGCAAAATTGGCCTCATTTTACTGGTAGTGATAATTTGACATTTACAGATACATAGAAAGAAAACAACTAGTAGATTTTTTTTAAAAATATTCTTAGGATTATTTTTGAATTTCAAAGTAACGTTATTTTGTTGGTAGCTTAACAGAAAATAAATGTAAAGGAAATGCTATGATAATGTGCTTTTTCTCCATTATTTTATGACATTTGATTCCAAACCTCGGCCAAATTTTGTCATTTCAAATCATTGATGACGAAATTTACTGCAAAGTGAAGCCAATTTCCCTTTCTCTTTTAAATCTACAGCACAAAGTGCCTTGAAATCTGATTGAATCAGCACCTTTTCCATGTAAGAAATGCATCACAACAAGGTGGAAAACTAGATTCAAAACTCAAAAGATGTTATTTTCACCATTGTTGATCAAATCTCAAACTATCTAGATGAAAGAAACCATTTCTTTGTCAAATTTCCAAATATTTCTTCAAAATAATATAAATTTGGAACCAGTGATTGTATCTATCTGTAACAACTTTGTTTTTTTTACTGGTGTTAAGTATATTAAACTTTTAATGTGTATCTTAAAATCCCTGAATTCAAATGAATTATTCACTTGAACAATTGGCTGTTCGTATTATCTTGTTGATGAAATTGTGACTTCAAACTTCAACTCATCCTTCACTTCAGACAAAAACTTCCAATTCAATTTACAATACAAATACTCTTGAATTAAAAAATAAAAATTGTTATAAGAAATAAAACTTTAAAGATATTCAGACTAGGAGCATGACGCCCTCATCCTTGGCGTTGAAAATAAAGCTCATTTTTCACTACAAGTCAATCTGAAGTTAGCTAATTTTCATGTTTGAAAAGTTTTTTTTGTGTTGATATATTAGTTTGTTATCTCGTTTGGCAGATAATCAATAATAAACTTCGACTCAGAATATTTTCATGTAGATAAAATGGTGAAATTTAGCTGTAATATACAGTTTGTGAAAATAAATTGCTTTTGATTATTAGTCTCTTGGTTTTAAAATTGTCTGGGATGGAAATTCAAAATCAGATCAGACAAACATCAGTTTATTTTCTCAGTGTTTTGTTACCTCTTTTAAGTTTTTAATTAATTTGCAAATTTGGTTCCCCCTTCTGAGAAATTTTGTTTTCGGACAGCTTCCTTGTGTTTTGGTTATTTGTGACAAAAACAGGAGATATTTTCTGCTTGGGAATAGAATGTTCCATTCATGATAAGAAAATTTATGAAGCTATGACTAGTACAGAAAAGACTTGACCTGTGTCATTTCTTGACCACTAGCATTAGGTTTGGTTTTGGATCATTTTCTCTAAGGCTAGAACTAAACTCAGAATTAAGACTTGTAAGTCTAGGATAATTAGAGATGGACAAAGTTTTATATTATCTTCAAGTACTATCTTAAACAGTCTCTAGTAGAGGAGAGTTTATTTTACCATTTCCCTGTTCATTGGACCTGTTATTTAAATATTCTCTTCTGGAATGAGATTGCCCTCAAGACTCTAGATCAATTCATCCAATCAGCAATCAATGTGTTGTTCGTGACCAAGTCCATTACCGATTCTCATCTTGATACAAGTTGAGCTTACTGGTTTGTGATTGATGGGCAAGAACATATTGATGTTCATCGCAATAATAACATCTGAAAATCACTTGATTTTAAGCTGGAAGACATTTCATCTCTAGACTAGACAAAATCATTTGTAGACTTAGTCTCCATTGTCTAGTAATATATATTCTATTATTAATCCTTACAATTTTATAATTAGTATAAGCTTTGACTAATTTGGTAAAATTTATAGACCAGGGATTCTCAACTGCCAGTGCACGTGCCATGGCACCTTAGCAATTCCAAACAATGAAAGCTTATTTACTTGAGAATATTAAATTTTTGTCAACTCCCCCTATTT